TATGGTTTCAATAATAAAATATTATAATTTATTGTATTGTCATTTATCTTTTTTTAGTATATTTAGTTTTTGAGATCTCTTCACTGGTTCATGATTGGATTTTTTGTACTTTGTAACTGGAGTATATATTGGTGTAATAAAGGCCATGATGTACTGTTTTTGGCTGCTGTCACATAGTAAAACTTTGGTTTCGCTTAAAAATGAACTGATTGCAGTTTTATTGGCCAATTCCAATTTTTATTTTCAAAATAAAATGAATTATTAAACTACAATTTGTACTGATTTATGTAACAAAGCAAATGTCAGGTGCTTAAATCATTTTTCCAGTGCGTTTATTCCTTTAACATATAACAGGGCAGGTGCTTCATTGTCAAATCTTTTCTATTTCTCACTTGTTTCTAAATTTGTGCTTTCATCCTTTGTTCTTACCACATACTTTAGGTTGCTGGCTTGTGTCTCACTTTGAGCTCTGGATAGCTTTAGTTTTAGCCACTTTTCCTTTGTAGTTTCTTTAAAATGCACAGGGGATGATCGGGTATGTGGTTTGTTGGTTTGAGCGTTTTTGTGGTGGTGTGCCATAGATTACTTTGGGTAACTTCCACACTAACATGATAGTGTGTGGCTATAAGTGTGTGTGTGAGATTTACCTGCACCATTGTGTGCATGTTTTGCACCCACAAAATGGACCAGTTCATAAGTGTCCATACTGGAGGCTAACTGGTCGGAAATCGTCCCATGTTGGTCCCCGGAGAATCGATTGGTGCACCTCTAGTTTGTTTGTTTTTTCTTCACTGTAATGAACCACACATATGTGTTGCTATCATGACACAACATAAAAAAACACTTGTTTGGCACAATGTGTCATAGTGTTTTTGTAATTCCAAACCAAAGTAACACTTATAAATAACTTTTTACGTGCTGTTTTTTATATATTTCCATGCAGCCGCTGATACTTTCTGTCGCTTTTCCATTCATATTTGTAGAACTATTAATTCATCACCTTTAGCCTAATGTTTGAATGTTACAGCAGAATGCTGGAGCCAGCAGGTGGCACAGAACATATAATCATGCATATCAGTTCAGTGCAGAATCTGACACCCTCAAGCAGACACAGACCCCCACTGTACTGGATGTATCACTGGAATGCCCTCCACAACATGTTATGTAACACCTGCAGAGAGAGAAAAAATGTGTAATTTAGTTAGACCATTTCAGGTCTCTTTTGTTTTGTACATTGTTCTGCAGGGAATCGTGTGTTACGTTGAAAAGTCTTGGATTTTAAATGACCCTCGTCTGTTTTAAGCTTTCTTGTCCTTAAAGTGTCTCTTTGGTGTCTAAAGAGAGGCTTGTTAGTGGGGTTTCCCTGAGCTGTACACACAACTGGCATACCTCCCTGCAATGGTTCACATATGTGTGTGTGCTGTAAGGGCGGGTGCATATATTCTATTTCCAGAACTAGTCCTGAGCCACTTTAATCTCCCTGCCTTGTCTCCATCGCCATGGGCAGAAGGAAAAGAAAAGTCCCCCCCTAGCCTGCCCACCCCACTGTTGGGGAGCAGTGTTGCTGAGATTGAGTTGCAGGTTCACTGAAAATAGATTGTAAGAGGGAAGAATCTTTTCTGTCAGGGAGAAAGAGGGTTTGATAGAGACTGTCTCAGTCAGGAAGACAGCTCTGTTAGTGCTACACTCCAGGGGAAAGGACTAGACTCAGGCGTTTAACTGAGGTAAGACCTCATGATGTGGGTTTGTGCATGCATGTGGATAAACTTGCATAGATGTGGGTGTGTTCACGTGCTGCCAAAGCGATGCAGGTATATCCCTGTATCCTTTTTGTCCTGCAAATTTGAGGCTATATCCAAACTAATCTTTTCTATTTATTTTTTTCTTTCTCACAGTTACCACTAGCATCAACACTAGGTCTTTGTTTTAGGACCCCTTAAACCATGGTGTTCCACAGACTGTGTGACAGGCCCCCTGGTGGGGCATTGAACCTCAGTGGGGAGTTGGGTTTTTGGCTTGCTTGGATAACCAGGGGAACGATATGAAAAGAAGTTCATCTGAATGAATATCATCTAATGATGGAAAACAAACGGGATGTTTTTCTTTTAAATCCAGTTTTGAAGATATTTATTTTAGTAAGATTCTGCAAGGATTGGTGGGACTGGTGTTGCAAACTTTTTTGGGGGGGTATTTGAAAGTTTGATAAGCTCTGCTATAAGTAGATACACAATGAACACGGACATTTTTTTTAGCTTGAAAACCAGATGCAAAAATGATACCAACTTTTTCTGGCTGATTGCATCTTGTAAGCCACTGCATATCCTTAATTGATTCGTCACGCTCCTATCACGTGGCCTTATACTGGAAGAAAACAATGACATCAGCTTTGACTCCCAGGAGTTGATTCAGATATTGAATTGCATGCATTGCTGACCTTTAGTGTCCCTTGAAATTCTGCATTGTATTGTGTTTTTCTACAATGTTTCCTTTTTAACCTTTATTTGATGTCTAAAGTACTATAAGAAACTGTGCAGGATGGTAACCTTTTTTTTCCAACTGAGGCTGTCTGTGTGTGCCTCTGTATGCGTGTGTTTGTTTGTGTGCATGGCTCAGGCCAGTGGTGAGTGCCAGGGTGTAAACTAAACATTTCCTTATGGTGAAAGGAGGTTTAGCCTTTTTAACTCACTCATCCCTCCCTCCCAAGTTAATCCATCATTCACACAGCCAAACATTCTAACTTATGTAAGCTATAATTTTGAAATTCAACTCAGTTTCCCAAGTTCCCATGACACCCCATATGTCATGCTGAATTCTCTGGAAATATGTGTAAAATGATGCAGGAGACATCTAGTATTTCCTATTTGATGTGATGGCAAATCACCATGGGCTTGAATATTTCTCTCAATGGAAGCATGGTGTATTGTAGCTTCCAGCAATATGTATGTATTTGGCACAGCTAACCTTTTTTTTCAGCATTAAAGAGGGATCAGATTTTAGGGTGTGTAATCTGTTGAAGGTGACATGCCACAGTGGCTTGTATACAGTTTGTGTGCAGTGCAGGTAGTATCTTGGCCGTGTGTACTTGCAATTTGAGTATGTAGTTATTTACATATTTACATATAAGCTGCATATAAAAGTCTTTTTGTATGCATGTCTTATCTGCCTTATCTTTATGATACATGATCTGTAAAAATACATAGAGAAATAAAAATAAATTAAACTGATATATTGTCCATGGTTCTAGAGGAGCTTTGTTCCTTGACTTTCTTTTCTTATGAAACATGCTGATGAGTTCAAATATGGGAACTCTGGACTGGAGGGTTGTTGGAGCTTGACCCTTCACTAAAATTCAGTATATCTCAGCTACAGCTCCTTTGATTTTCAGCCCGTCTGTTTCTTTTAAGTTTTCAGTATGATTTTGCTTTTAACAATATGTGGATCAAAAATCCATTTGGTGCTCACCGGGACACACGTGTGTATCCAATAAATGTGATTTTGCAAAAAATCACTTAAAACATTTCTTCTCTTTTTTTTTTTCCTAAAAGTTTTTAAGTCTACCACCTTTACTCGTGTACTCTGAATAAAAACAGAATAATACCCATTTTAATTTCAAGGCATTTTTAGCTAATATTCTAATTAGTTTCATGTATAATCTAAGTGATATTTCTATGAATTGTAGCAATGTAAACCTGAGATTCTGTAATTCCCAGTTATAAAGATATTACACAGCTACAGCTGTAGTTGTGTAACCACTTACCAACATGCATATTAACTCAGTGGCTGTTTGGTTTATGTCCTGTGCGTCTAATAAAGGGCATTGTTTGCCCTGATGTATACTTTTCTATGTTCTTCCATTATGCTCTTAATGTACTTTTGTCAGATGAGTGTAAACACAGCTTAGGGTGTGTTTTAGAGTGACAATAATGTTAGCCCTGTCATCATAAGATGTAAATGGCTTTTCTGTCATTCCTAATCCCAGCAGATATAGACAGGGTTTCTCTGCAACAGTATGAACTTAATTTTAACTCAGAAAGTGTTTGTGCTATAAGACATTTCTCATGTGTGGTAACTTAATAAAAACACATCTGGCTCTGCTCTGCCAATAGTGTTCTGTCTCTCATCCCTCTGTTATGAATGTGCCTGTGGAGAATCTACTTGTCTGACTATATGCAGTTTTCCTTCCCCCTTTCTTACCATCATGTAAAATTACTGTGGTTTTAGCACAGTCGATCAGACTAGTGCTTTTACTTTTTTTCATGAAGTCATTTTTTCCCCACTAATAGTTGGCTTGTTTCTGTTCCATCCAGTATATTTAGTGAATAATTTATACATTTCCCCTTAACGTTTATCTCCTCTGGAAACAGCGTGTAGCTTGTTATAATAATTAGCCTCCCCCTTGCTTTTCACTTTCAGCAGAAAGCAAAGAGGGGTCATTTTTGGATGAATTGTATCAAAGCTCCTTCAGAGAGAGAGACACAGGCAACTATTGAAGTTAGACTTAGGGCTGCAGTTGCGCTGCTGCTAAAACAAATGCTGTCTCTTTATTCTGCTGTACTGTTCAATTTTGCAGTAGAGTTATGCTACCGCTGAACATTTTGGAGCCAGCAGGGCTTGTTGAGAGCATGAATAAAAGAGTTCCTGGGGTTGAGTGGTGCAGGATCCTGCTGCGCCAGATTTAGATCTGAAAATGAGGGGAACAGGAGGGAGGAGAGTGAAAGGGAGAAATGACAGAGGAAAAAAGAGGTGTTGCTAGGGCTGCTGACCATCTATATTACGCATCAGTAGTCTTAATATGGCTTTTGTTTTGTACATTTCAGATTGTTCAGTACTCCCTGAGTGACATGACTCCAGTTTCATGTAATGTCCTTATTGTGTATAATCTTCTTGTTGAATTTGACCTTAAGCTTATGTGATTTATTTGACGGTGCTTGTGCGATTTTGATGTTTTGAGTTTAGCGGGCTGCATTGTGACTTGTCGGCGTGTGTGTTTCTGTGTGTTGATGTTCCAGCTGAACTCTCCAATGAACTCTGTCAGCAGTACGGAGGACATAAAGCCTCCACTGGGCCTCAACGGCGTGATGAAGGTGCCTGCCCAGCCCTCGAGCACAGCTCTGTCACTCACCAAACACATCTGCGCCATCTGCGGTGACCGCTCCTCAGGTGAGTGACATCAGACTGTGATGACTGTCTGCAAAGGAAGCATGAAAATAATTCAATGTCAGAATTGACCTTGTCAGAAATCTTTTTGAGAACTGGTAATGGCTAAGGTTATTTTCACTGGAGATTACTGTTTTTAAAGGTAGGTGTGCGAAGGGGGAAAATCAAAACACAGGAACTGGAAACTTTCACAGAGCACATCTGTGCAGTGAACAGCAACACCAAGTTCACTTGGGAGGATGTCAGTGGAAATGGATGGGGCTTTTTGGACTACACATTTTAGAGAGAAGCTTCAAATTGGAGTATATGGGTTTATAAGAGCCCTACACCTCTGGGATAAGAAGGGGTTTACAAGAGTAGAGGGGAACAAGAACCAGAAACACACAAGAGAAGACCCTGAAATAGGTAGTTACTCAAAATGGGCCTTCTGATGTCTGCCCCCAACTGGGTGCAGTAACATCCAACTGGATGCAGTGATCGGAATGCCATTGTTCATCAACGGATTGATGAACAATGAATGTTGCATCTCCTGCATCTAAAAATTTTAACAGCTGCTTCAACAGTGTGCAGCAGACACAATGGAGTCACCTCTACACTACAGTATTTAAAATTCTGGGAAATTCCCACTAATCATTTAGAACTCCAGATGAGCGGTGAAACGTCTCCATGTAAGTCCATTTAGCACTGCTTAGCACTTAGGTGACTATTTGAACATGTTCACAAATCACTTCCCAATCAGAAATTTCTAAGAATTTTATGCAGTTTTCTAAAAGATTGTAGGGAGACTTGACATGGGATAGATTATTAAAAAAAAATCTAAACAGCTTAGACTGGATAACATTGCACTGTTTCCAATTAAAATAAAGCAGGACTACACAGCATCTTGCCCAAGCCTGGGCTCTAACCACATGGAGAAACCTCCGGAGAAGATCCACACATGAACTTCGGTCAGAAAATGGCCCCACAGTATGCTCTGGCAGAACTACATACTGCAGCTTGTTGGAGTGGGAGAGCTTCCTGGAAAGACAACAGTCATCAGAATTCTTTAAAAATCTGGGCTAAATGACAGGGAAGCCAGAAAAAAGCCACTCCTGGAAAAAAAGCATGTGAGGGCAGCAACAGAAACGCACATGAAAGGAACCTAAATCATGTGGCAAAAGATCATCTTGATTGGATGAAACCTAACCTTGAATCGCTTTTTTACTGAAACAAGAAAGCGCTATGTCTGAAGGCGACCATGCGCAACTCATCATTCATCCCTACTGTGAAGCAGTCAGTACAATGAATAGTGGGACAAGTAGAGGCAGATTTTGGAGTTTCTTAATTTTCATTTCAACACAGTTAGAGTTCAGACACTGGCAAATTATATTCAGATAGAGATACAAGATATATTCTACAGTGTGTTCAGGAGAAACAATGTGGTTTTTGTCTTTATCGTGGAACCTCTTCGGGATATTCGAGTGTGCATGGGAGTTTGCCCAACCAGAGCCTGTTTAGTGGATTTTCAGGAGGAAGCACTGGGAAAGACCTGAAACTAGACAAATTACATTTCTCAGCTATCTTGGAAATGCCTTGGAGTCTCCCTAGAAGGGCAGAGACAGGGACCAGGAAGAAGGAGGCCTGGATGTCTCTCCTTAGACTCCTGGCCCCTTGACCCAAACATGGATAAGCAGTAATGGACGGATGGATGGACAGATGGGTGGGTGGATGGTCATTTAAGGCTATTTTTTGATTAGTCTCTGAAAGATGGTAATGATAATAATAAAGCAAAGTCAATATAACGTGTTACAAGAAAAGGCATAAAATTCCATTTAAGTCTGGCACCCTTAATATTTCTGTAATCTTTTTTTGTCCCAAATCAAACTTTCTCACGTAGCACTTTAGGTTGCACAATAAATAAAGATTGTAAATAACCTTTTTGGCTTCTCAAAGAACAATAGCTTGCTCCAGAGTTTTCTTAAACATTGGCTATCATTTGGCCAACTTCTAGCTTAACCACCTGAACCACAAGAACATTAACCCTGGGTGAACAGATAACCACGGGTTATCCCAGGAAATGACTCTCACAGCACTCATCTTTGTAGAGTTGTCTTAAATCTCTTTTTTTTCCCACACTGCCAACAAATAACCATGTGTTTCATTTTTTTTCTGGGGATAACCATGAAAAGTTTGTAGCCTCTGGATAAAGGTGGATATCTAATTCATTGGACAGTTTTACTGTCATCCTGCGTCATTGGTGCTGTGTGCACCCAAGGGGGAAAATCAAAACAATGTTTAATAGCAAGTCATGCTTCATTTAGCTGTGCTCGGGGGCTTTATTTATCTTCTCTGGTGGTCTGACCCAGCAGAGAGCTAACAAAGAAACAGTTTGATCAACACTGGAGAAACCAAATGGACTCCATCCGTCATAAATAACAAAAAAGAGCTGTTAGAAACAGGGTCAGACAACACCATATCAGAATGCCCCCCCCCCCACAAATTCCCTTTAGTGAGCCTCTCTTTTCCTTCATTACCAAAGGGTTAGTAGAAGGGTCTGTGATCATAATTTTTGTTTTGTTCTTTCAAAGTGTTTCCTGGGTATTTCTTTGTGTTATTGTAACCACAGAATGGTAAATAACATGTTCATGAAATCACAGTAAATTCCGCGAATGTGTTGTAGTTGGTAAGGTCATAGGTGTGTACTAATGAAGAAGCAGCAAAACAGCCAACTCAGCAAATTCCATGTGCACTGTGTCACCTTATGTTTCCAAAAAAAGGATCAAAAACTAACATTAAGCAAACAATCTCTTTTCCCTTTTCCTCAGGTAAACACTATGGAGTCTACAGCTGCGAGGGCTGCAAAGGTTTCTTCAAAAGGACTGTCCGCAAAGACCTGACCTACACCTGTCGTGACAACAAAGACTGTGTCATTGATAAACGCCAGAGGAACCGCTGTCAGTACTGTCGCTACCAGAAGTGTTTAGCCATGGGCATGAAGAGAGAAGGTACAGCACATACCGTTGAGGATAATGTCTCACTTTCCTATTTCCTTATCTTTATTAATCTTCCTTTTAAAAGGCTCAATTTTGGGGAAGTGAGTAGCCGAGGAGTACATTCAGAAGTCCATATGATTTGATGTATTTTTGGCATTTCTGTGAGTAGAAATATACTGAATTTTGAGATTCCAGAATTTTGGGGTATTCTGAATTTGGTTTGCACTCAAACTGCTGGTGCGTTTGACACTGGTGCAGAAACAGTATCGGAGTCATTACTTGAAATGAAAGTGCAGTACATAACTGTTGCATTATTCAATATATCAGTTTCACATTACTCATCAGTAATGTGTTAACAATATAACTTAAGCTACACCAAAACAAATCCCTATTCTAATAAGGACACACATACGATCTTTCTTTCAGTATTTATGTATGAACACAAAGCTGAAAAAACAAAGCAAAGTTGAAAAACAGCCCAAAGACACTTCAAAGCAATTGCCACAGCGATTCTACTTTAATTCTATAATGCACAGGCTGAAAAGGAAGCTGCAGCGCTGCAAGCGTGACTGCCCATCACTGCCTTTGTTACCTGTTGAAGTCTAGGGCCTGACTGCTGGGCTGGGGCCAGCACACATATCTGGGCTTTAGCTTTGCGTTAGCATGCTGGCTGTGCAGATTTTTGCAAAGAGCCGAAGTTATGTTAGTAGTACAAAGCTGTTGTTTGTTTCCTGGATGCAGTAATGTCCATCTTCCACTTCACCATTTTTCTGCTTCTAGCACGCAAACTGAAATGATCTGATTGTAGCACAAGTTCACAGGAAAAAAAGAAAGTTTGTTTGATGTTTTATGTTTCCGCCTTTCTATCTGCCTCCCATGTAGATAGCTGAAGAACTTTTAGTAACAACGTCATTTTAACTTTAATCTAATGATAGAATTTAGTACAAGAGCACGTTACATTACTATGTTACTGAAGAATGTAATTTCATTATATACATTACTTTGGAATGCATTACACCCAACACTGCACACAAATACTCATTTAAGCTACGACTTCATTAACGACAGAGCTTTCAAAATACCCTAGAAGTTGACATAAAATACTTTGACATGTCAAATGTAATCCTTCCTTTTCTTTGCAAAGTTTCCACTTCTTATAGGCCAAAGAAAACAAAAAACAGAATACTTTGATAAACTTGGCAAGTGATGCAGAGCTGCAAAGACCAACTGTATCTCACCCAGCAAGCGATGTCAAGGGTAACTGACGTCATATGTTAGAGACGCATCAAATTTTTAGAAAACCCGGCATCTCAAATGAGAGAATTTTCTGCTTGCAGCATTAGTTTTTTAGAATGCATTCATCTGTTCAGCGCCATGAATCAAACATGGCTGTGCGTGGAAACCAAATGAGGGTTTGTGAGAGCAGGCAATCCACACGGAGACTTCAGCAATGTAGACTGAAGAAAAACATTCTCGGTTAAACTATGAAACTATGCGAGTTTATGTTTCCTGTATTTCCTGGAATCCTTTTTTGTCTTTTTCTCCTTCTAATGATTTTTGGAAATTTACATGTGGTGTGGGGAACAGCTTACCTAGTTATTGTAAGCCACCTCATTTTTCACACAGTGCAAAAGATGGATGCTGTACTTATGTTGCAAGATATGTGAAGTTTAATACTCCAACTGAGTACTCCAACTGGATGATGTCTTGTAATTGCACAGCACGATGAAAAATTTGCACCACATTCCTAAAGTTATAAGCTGCTGATGGTGTGCACATAATGCTGTCCTTTTGGAAGACATTCAAAGATTCGATCAGCCACATGGGACGAAATATAGGGCCTATTATTCGAACCCAGTTTAAGATCATTATTCAATTTCTACCATTATTCAGTCATTTTTCAGTGTTAATGTTATTTTAAAAGGAAACCATTACCTACACATAAATAGATATTTATTTTACTGGGACTGCAGACTTTGACCAGAGACTTTGAGCTTTCATTCAAAAGGTTTAACAAAAGTTTTCTTTTACCTGTTTAGGAATTACACTTATTTTTTTCCATAGTCTCCCATTTTCAGAGGCTATTAACATGGACTGGGTCTGTGCAAATGCAAATCCCATCTTTCTTGAAAACAGAATCTTCAGCTCCATCTCCTTTTTTCTTCTAAATCAGACGTTGGTCTTTAAGACTAAAAGATTTAAACGTCTGCAGTCAATCTTTGTCGGGGTTACGGCATAACCGACGTAAGTAGCTAACGCCGTTGCCATCATTCATGCTTCATTTCCGTGGTGTTAATTGCCTTGTGGTCGAGCCCCAGTGCTTTATATGTGGTGCCAGCCACCATAGAAACAAATAAACTCACAAGACTTTTTTTCCCACCCTCTTGGGTGCCAATTCTTTGTTGTTGTTGATTTTTTTGAAGCAAACATGATTTTCCACTTCTTTGTACTTCCAATAATTTTGGCAATTTCCCTCCAGGGATTTGCTGACATCTGTGAGTTCTTATATAAGGCAGTGATTATTAATCTCTCTGATCCTTTCAATAATGACAGTAAAAACACTGACAGAAGTGCATAGAAGGACTCCATAGTACTGAACAGGTGAATCACAGTCACATGGTAGTTGTTGCTGTTATAGCACACAATGAAATGAAGACTATCAAGTTCTGAATTGGAGCAAGAAACCGATGTGCTGCACATAGAGTTTCTAGCTATTTCTCATTTTTAACCCTCATCCCTTGTCGGGCTTTTAATCTTCACATCACACAAACATAATTACAACACTTAATTATTCAATTTCACGTGACTATCTGGTGTCGTTGTGTTTGGATAATAATTACCTTTTACTTCCAAGTATTAAATAGAAAACCACCTCAAACAAATACATAATACAACTTAGAGAAACACTGACTCTTCAGTTCTCATTGAGATTCTGGGATTCGGTTGCACTTCAAACCAATGGATTTTTTGGCTGCAGGTTTTAACCTGACTTATCTTGACTTTGGGGTGAACCTGGGTACTCTGGGTTCGGCTTTATTGCCCGTAATCGTCCTTGTTCAAAGGAGAATCATTTTGATGATCCGTTTGTGTGCTACACTTTATTCCCTCTGTTTTACCAGTTCTCAACTTTGCCTTTTTTTGCATTTCTTTTTCAGAAATGGATTAATGGCACATCTTGAAACATGTGTCTGCTGCATACTGCCAAACCTCACCCATGCACTTGTTTTTATATCAAGTTCTCATGTCATCTTCAGCTTCTTTTTTTTAAATATGGCTATATTGGCTCAAAGCAGTTCAAGAAACCCAGCAACACAACGTGAACACTGAAATGACAGATAGCTTTTGTAATTCATTATGGAGCAGCACAGTAAAGCGTCTCCAGGGAAAGCTTACAGTGGGGTTGAAAATGTTTCTGTTGTCTGAGGGGAGGAAAAACATTCTGTGAGGTGGGAATTTTAACACTCCATCTAGGTGTAAAAAATATTAGCCCTTTCAGCAGTGCTGTTAAGCACTCTTTTGCACGTTGAACAAGCCAGTTACTGCCTTTCTTCATCAAGGCAACCATGTTTACTGAAAAGAGTGCATAGATTACACTACTTGATGCTTGGAGATGGCTAAGAGATCTAAGGATGCAAAAACAGCAGCATGTGTTAACCAGGTGTCTGTGGGTGGTTACTGAAGAAAACACAGTTAATGAGGAGAATAGGTTTCTTCTTTTCATTGGTATGTTTTGGAGGATATTCTAAGGCCATTTTTTCCTGACCTTTACTTGGCCTCCCATCTCCTCTCTCTTGTTTTTATTTATGTCATTGTTGGGCTCTTTATTCCTTTCAAGGATATTATCATTTACTGCCTTCTGCCTCACTTGCAATGCTGCCTAAGCCTCCCCATGCAGCCCGGGGGCTGTGGTTGGAGAACATGGCAACAGTAGCCCAAAAGGCTGAGCGAATCCACAGAAAAACAGGATTAAATGAATTTATGCTCTCCCAGTCAGGAGAGTAGAGGAGGAGGAGGGGAGAATAAAGCTAACATGATTTCAGCCCTCCTCACCTCTCCCTGACTCCAACACAAGTATTCTACCCTTGAGCTGACCTCCACTGCCAGACAGCAGTTCCTCTAAAGTGGGGCCCCTTTCCCTCTCCTCCTCTAACAACCCCTGCTTTCCTTTCCCCCCCACAACAAGACCACGGCCTCTCTGATTCGGGACTTGGAATAGAAACCAGAGTAAGGGAAACTCAAGAAGACAGATCTTCAGTCAGATCTGAAACCCCATTGTGTGCGATAGTGTGTGTGTGTGTGTGTGTGTG